GTCTATCTTTAGCATAAGCGGGGTCACCTATGCCTGGCGCCGGGAACGAGGGAGGATTCGGAGCGAGGCCCTGCGGGAACCTCTGGGCACATCTAGCCTGCTACTGCAAACGGCTGCGAAGCAATTGGACGTTGCTTTAGGGAAAGGCAGAAAAACCACTACTAGCACGAGCTGTGGCACAAGTAAACATAGGAAACATGCGTGCCTGTCTAGTGTATTTCATCTTAATACTGCTGAAAAGCAAGGATTGGATACCTACCGAAAACCTAGCAGCGAGTAAACCAAGCACACAGACCTGCAACTGCATACGTGCAAAACAGGAGACCCAAATGCAGACCCAGCTGGAAGCAGTGCCTGGTGAAAGCGCCCAGCTGCCCCCGACACTCCAGGGGCGCTGCAGCTCCCCCGGTGGGGCAGGCGGTGCCCACGGCGCGGCCCCTACCCGCCCTCCCCACGGCGTCCTGCAGCGCGTCAGCCAGGCACCCAGCCGCGCTCAAGCAGGAGGGCAAACCCTCCACCGAGACAGCTCCCCTGGCGAAGAGGAGCTCCGGCCGCACAGGAGCTGCCCACAAAGCTCCCCCTCTTCCAGCCAGCACCTACTGCTTGCCACCCATCACCGGAGCACGCGGGCGACAGGCAGCTGCGCTACAAATATACCACTCCTGCACCAGCACTGGAATCAGATATTCCCCGTCAGCGCTAAGCGTGCTACTGAACTGCGCAATAAAGAAGATTTGAAGCATTTGAAGATTTCAGAAAAAAGAATGTTAACGCTTTTGCATTGGCTGGAACAAAATACATGATGCCTGTCTGACATGTCAGCTAACTAACCAATGCTGTCAAAAAAATCTGCACTTAATACTTGCTAAAATGAGTGCTACCAAGTTGAGGTCTTCCCAACTTGCTTTGTCCTCTTCGCAAAGTCTGGGGTCTAGGAGCACTGCAGCCTTCAGTCAGCTGTTACACATGGCCAATTCCAGACTAACTGGCCAGCTCAGGTAGCCGCTGTTTCGGTCAGCACTTTCAGCTGTTCTGTGGCAACATTACTGCCCCAACACATTTGGAAAGGAAGAGTGGACATTCATTTCTCACTACAAAGTCTTACCTAAATGTCATTTTGCCACCCTAGAATATGTCTAGGTAAGGGAGCACAGCGAGTCCAAGTGTTTGTTCACCAGGTGTGTATATTGGTGGAAAAAACAGAGCTAGGAGGAGATTCCAAAGAGAACAAGGGAGAACAAGCCAGAAGTGTCCTCTGGGACAAGGGATGGACAAGCAAAAACCAGCAGCCCGTTCTTGAAGGTGACTAGATAAAGAAGTAGCATCAACAGGATAAAGAAGTAACATTGATTAAACTGTGCTTGTATCATGGCACTTTGTGGGGCTTATCTAGATAATGAGAGCAGAAGGCAAACCAGGTGAGCAGGGATCCTGGACTAAGAAGACAAAAAAAAAGCACACTTGAGCAATCTGATTCTATGGCATTTCTTTAAAACAGTTTTAAACTGTTACGCTTTCTGTTTTGTGCAGAAAATTACGGATCCTCTTATTAAAAAGCCCAACTCCACTGGAAAAGCAAGTAACCTTAATTTCAAAAAGAACAGGCTAGGCAAGCTGATGTCTCTCCCCAGCACTGACCTAATGGCTTCCAGCCCCACTTCCATCCCCTACACAGTGTGTACAGTAGATTATTCAAGGCCCTCAACAGCTGTTACAAAACACCAAACTTGGTAATTAGGCCTGACAGGGCCGTACTTCAGCATTTCTGAGCAGAATACTGGCAATGCATCAATTCTGTAACAATGCTCCTAGTTTTGACATGAAAGAAGAGTAACAAAATGAACTAAAGCAAGTCAGGAGACACAGGGGAAGAAAATGGACCAAAATGTTCGGCGCTGCTTTTTGGAACTGCAACACAGCCCCTGCCTTTATCTGGGAGGCTATCGCAGCCTGCATTTACAAGGTCAGCACTTAAGTGCAGCACCTGATTTACAACGGCTTATCCTTTAATGCTATCAGGCAGCCAGAGCACTGCTGTGAGGAGGAATTCAGCCAAGAGAAACTACACGCACTCTTAGGGCACTTCAGTAAAGGTTACTGGTGCTCGCGTGACCGCTTCACCTCAGCACTTATAGACCACATAAACAGCAACATAAGGCAGCACGAGCACTGAGGCCATATTTTAACTGCCATTGCATTGTAATCTTTCGATTCACCCCATGCCACTGGAAAGAGAGATATTTTTAGTCAATTCATTGACTTACAGTAGGCATTTAGCTCAGCAACTGCAGGGCAATTCCTTGATTTGGGGAATACTTTGAACTCCCTCATCAAGCAGCTTTGCTAGCTCTAAAGATCTTCAGCTGAAGGGGACGTGAGGAAGAGAAGCAATTCACCACATACCAGCAACAACAAGCAGAGCAGTCGCCTTGGAACACCTGCCTTGCAGCACACTGTACGACATCAGGCCAATGCTGAGAGTTTGGGGTTTTTCTGTAAGCCTGCCTTTTTAAAGTTGCTCTAAGAGCTGCTCCTAGAGCCAGGAATTAGGACAACCTGAAGCAGGGCCAATTTTGCTTCAGCTTTCCCCCCACACCCATCAAACACTGAGGTTTTCTCAACATTGAGGACACAACATATAGGAGGAAACAGGACATACTTGGAGTAATTCCTCAGGATAAAGGAATCCACTCAAGCCAACGCAATGCCATCTACACACATACATACATACATAAGCACACAGATACGAGGCTATGAGAGTGTGTGGTTGGGAATACTACCTGTGTGCAGGTATCCACACCCCACACTGCAGAGCCAGTATCAGAAAAAAAGAGCATTGACCGAGCTAGAGTAAGGATATTAGAGAAAACACCGCCAAGGCCAGGTCTCATCTATCTAAGGGCAGGCGCAGATGGCCACAAGCGATGCAGACAGAGCAACTTCAGGAACCGTGGAGGCAACAACCAGCCGCCTGGAGGGTCCCTCTGCACTGTGCACTGCAGGCGGGGGCTAACTTGTGGAGCCCGCAGCAGCGGCGCTCACGGGATCAGATGCCTCAGCCGGACGTTTTGCTGTGCGTCTAACCAGGCCCACTCGTGAAGCTCGGCCACCTTTTCTGTTGCTCACAAGAGGAGGTTACAGGGATGTGGGAGTCAGTCTCTTCCCTGGAATAACTACTAACGGGACAAGAGGAAATGGCCTCAAGTTGAGCCAGGGGAGGTTCAGGTTGGACGCCAGGAAGAACTTCTACACGGAAGCAGTGCTGAGGCGCCTGAAGAGGCTGCCTGGGGAAGCGGCGGAGCCCTCGCTCCCGGCAGCGTTCAGGGAACGCGTGGCTGCGGCGCTCAGGGACACGCTTAGCGGGCGCGGTGCTGCGGGGTGTCGGTGGCCTTGCCGGAGGGCGGCGGGCACT